TGAGCTGGACCTAAGTCTTTCATTTCAAAGGACTTAGAGAGTTCTTTCTTCAACTGTCTAATTTTTGTTGCATCTTGTCCGACGATCAACATGTCGTCTACATAAAGTAGAAGTACAACAAAATTGCCATCCGAAAATCTCTGAATGTAAACACACTGATCTGCAGCAGTCCTTTTATATCCTTGACATACCATAAATGAGTCAAATTTTTTGTACCACTGCCTCGGTGCTTACTTTAGGACATATAAACTTTTCGTAAGCTTATAGACGAGGTTTTCTTTTCCTGAAACCTCAAAACCTTCCGGCTGCTCCATATAGATTTCCTCATTTAGATCACCATGAAGAAATGCTGTCTTGACATCCATTTGTTCAAGCTCCAAATTCAAACTGGCTACCAATCCAAGGATAATGCGGATTGAAGTCAATTTTATAACTGGTGAAAATATTTCATCAAAGTCAATTCTCTTTTTCTGTAGGAATCCTTTGACTACTAACCGGGCTTTGTACTTCACCACCTTTCCTCTACCATCTTTCTTGAGCTTGAATACCCATTTACTCTTCAGTACCTTCTTTCCTTGTGGAAGTTTCACAATCTCATAAGTGTTGTTTTTCTGTAAAGAGTTCATCTCTTCGGTCATTGCTTGCAGCTATTTTTCTTTATCCTTATGAGATATAGCNCTTCATGAAAACTCTCTGGTTCTCAATCTTCAGAAAGTAGAATATACTCGGTTTCTGGGTATCGAGTTGATGGAATCTGACCTCGTTCAGATCGACGAGGTTGTTGATTATTAGCTTCAGGAGGTGTACCGTCATTGTTCCCCTGTGATGGTTCTGTAGTTTCCTGAGGGGTTTGTGCCTCCCCCTGCCAAACATCCTCCTGTTCTGCTTCTGGTACTGTTTCATGCTCCCCCATGTTATTTGTGTCAAACTGCAATGGTAGCGGACCTGGACCAACTTTTTGGGCACTGGAACCTCTTTCATAAGACATTGTGGGCTTTTCAATGTCTTCAATTGTCTGATTTTCGTGGAATACAACATCCCTACTTCTGATCACCGTCTTCTGTATTGGATCCCATAATCTATATCCAAATTCTTCATCTCCATAGCCTATGAAGATTCATGGTATAGTTCTACCATCAAGCTTCTTCCTAAGCTCCTTGGATACATGTGCATGTGCTAAACAACCGAATACCCTTAAGTGAGAATATGAAGGATTCTTACCAGACCATATTTTCTCTGGAACCTCAAAATTCAACGGGGCTGATGGTGACCGGTTGATTAGGTAGCAGGCGGCGCGAACAGCTTCTCCCCAGAATGGCTTAGGCAGCTTTGCCATATTGATCATACTTCTGACTCTTTCCATAATTGTCCGGTTCATTCTCTCGGCTACTCCATTGTGTTGTGGGGTGCGTGGGACCGTCTTTTCATGTCGAATCCCTTGTCTCTTGCAATAGGAATCGAACTCCTTGGAAGTATACTCGCCTCCATTATCTGAGCGAAGGCATTTTAATTTCTTTCCCGTTTCACGCTCTACCATGGCATGAAATATCTTGAAATAATCAAAAGCCTGGTCCTTTATCTTTAAGAAGTACACCCATTATACACAAGGTACTCCATTTTCTTCGGTTTCACCTTAGCCTTCGTTTTGACTTCAGAAATCATTGTATTTATCCTGAATTTCTCTGATGATTTTGGTCAAAGTACCCAAAATCGATTGACCAGATCCGGGACGAATCCCACACTCACGCCGTGTCGACACGGGTGCGGCGTGGAAAGTAAAGAGTCTGAATAACTTAGTTAGCCCATCGTAATAATAATAATAATAATAATAATAATAATAATAATAATAATAATAATAATAATAATAATAATAATAATAATAATAATAATAATAATAATAATAAGTTGGAATGCTGCTAATTTCAATTTTGTTTCACAAAACTGTAAGGGACTCCCTACCATATCACCTGAAATCAATAAAAACATGACTTTGTAGGTTAGAAGAGTGGAGATAAAAGAAAGAATACCTCCAGCAACAACTAGTTTCTCTACACGGGCAACTATGTGCTTTCCATAGGTATATTTCTTCAGAGCATTTAGATGAACCTTTATTCGGTTGAGAATCAGTTCAAGCTGCTGGTCATCACACGTCTCCAGCACTTTCTGTACAACATAGTTTGCAAACTGATCTTTCATCATCACCTGCACATTAAATCATTTAAAAATAAATAAAAAAGAGCACTTATGAACACCAGCAAAATATTTCCCTAGTGCGTGAAGTTGAAAGACAATTGCTCATAAATACCCAAATTTTCAGCATGAATTTAGACGAGGTGAAAGATAATGACGGGGTTTGGAGTACGAAGTGAAAGTATGTAATTTTCACCATGAATTTACAATTTAGACATCAATCCCTTTTATCAAAGAAAAAATCACATACGTACAGTCTATATAAAAAGTACTATATTGTTAATTTTTATAATTAAAGATTTATAAAATGTTGTTAAGAGACCACACTTGGAAGAAAAAAAGGTACTTGGTTCCCAAAATAGTAACTGTCATGTAAAACAAGGAAATGGAGTATTAAGTAGATAAACATGTCCAAGAAGTATGCACAATAGTTCCCAAATTAGATATTCAATACACAGGATAAGAAAGAAGAACCAGTAATGCAATAACACGTAAAATCTCTATCAGAACCATATTTGAAGAAAGAAATTCTGGTTTACAAAGTAGCTATCCTCTCTATTTTCCCACTTCAACACAATTTTTCTTTTCCTTTATTCATTTAGGTTCTTAAACAATGTATATACAAACTAAGTTGCTCCGATACGGCAGTTTAGGTGCCGCACTCGTATCGATACGACACTAGTATGGTGTGGGTATGGGATCTGTACAGGATTTGGTCAAACAATTTTGGGTACTTTGACCACGACGGACAGAAACATTCAAGAATACATACAAAATGATTCCTAAAATCAAAACCAAAAACTACGGTAAATTTGAGGAAAATAGCATACCTTATCTAGGAAATCAATCCTTTACCTTTTTACAACTTGAGAATAAAAAGAAATCCACACTTTACAAGCTATACTAAGTCTTCCACAAAATTTCTCATAATTTAGAGATATTTTTATAATGTTGAATTATTTTTAGCCGGATCCCCTGTATCTATCCTAGGATCCATATCCCCGAATCTTAGATCTGACCTCGAGATCCGCACCCATGTCGGACACCCGCACCCGTGTCCGAGCAACTTAGAATACAAATATATTACTTGTGCCATTTATTAAATAAGATAAAAGCAAACAATAGGTAAATTCTTTGGATACAAACACCTATCAGTATCTTGTACTTTTAAATAAACCATTTCCACAATTTGTTTACTAATGTTACATGGGAACTTCGTATTTTTTATTTCCTTCGTTTAAGTTAGTTCAGTCTATAGCAAATTCTTTTCGATTTTTCCTTTTTCTGTTCTACATTTGTCTCAATATTATGTTACAACTATGTTCCTCTATCTGTATAATTACAGCTAGTTTTCTCCTATGCGGATATATATGACAAGAAAGTCATTCAACATCTCCTCCTTTTGCTAAAACTTCCAACATGCTCTAGTTTTAATAGCTATGGTTACCCAGAAAAATCATAGAACCGTGGTCTAAAAGGAGCCAATAAAGAGAAGCCTAGGATTTTCAAACTAGAAAAAGCCCATGCTACACGTTTGCTTGATTGTCACTGGGATACAGATCCTAGTATGGATATATGGGTGTACGATCCGGCTAAAAATAATTCAAAAAAAGAAAATATCTCTAAAATATGAAAAATTTTGTGGAATACTTATGTATAGCTTGTAAAGTCTGGATTTCTTTTTTATTCTCAAGTTGTAGATAAGTAAATGATTGATTTCCCAGATAATGTATGTTTTTTTCTTCACATTTACCCTAGTTTTGGTTCTAATTTCGGGAATCAAATTGTATCTCGTCTTGATTTTAGCTTAGGTTTAAATTGTAGAAGCAGGGTTTAGTGGGAACGTTGAATCCCATGTTGTCTTCTGTCAGATTGTATCTTTAGTGGTAACGATAAAACTTTCTTTTTTATGGAAGTTGGATGGATTTTTTTAATATTTAGTTAATGGCATACCCTTAGTAAGGTTGCAAAGTTGATACCCTCTTGGTGTAATACGAAAGGAAATGATTGAATTATTATATGAAAGTGTTGCGTGCTGCAAAGTTGACTCTTAGGGTTCACTGGGATCAAAAGGCTTTCAATAGGCTGGCCTTGTTTCCTGTCTCCGATCGCATTGTTATTGAACTATTGATTATGTAGGTATGGGGATTGATTGACTGGGCTTCGGTCTGGATTCTGTACCTCGTGCATCACAGAATGGACATTGACATTTTTGTAATCTAAAATACCTATATCTTCTAAGCATCATGCTGCTGTAAGGATTTTTTCTGGGTGATAGCTACTAGTCTACTTTGACTTAGGCTCTGTGTCAATCATTTCTCTGTGATACTTCACTGCTAGTATTTGAGGTTATCTTTTCTTGTACCGTCGTGAATATTTCAGGCCATAGAGGTTGTTGATCTGGACCAGCAAACCAAAATGGTCAAAGGGCTTGATGGTCATGTTATGCGCTGTGTTAAAGATCAGAATGGGAATCATGTTATCCAGAAGCGTATTGAATGCGTTCCAGAGGATGCCATCCAGTTCATTATTTCCACATTTTTTGACCAAGTTGTGACATTGTCCGCCCATCCATATGGATGTCGGGTCATACAGGTCAACACTTAATTGCATGTAAATTCTATTTTGGTATTCCGAGTCCATGGTATGAGCTTTGTTTCTATTTTTACTTTGACAGAGTCTTGGAACACTGCCATAATCCTGAAACACAGATCATTGTGAGGAAGGAGATTTTGCAATCTGTTTGCATGCTGGCACAAGATCAATATGGGAATTATGTTGTTCAGGTCTGCTGCATATCTCAACTTCCATAGCACATTACCAATAAGATGTTGTCTAGAGAATGCTAATTTACCAGAATATGTGAACTGGTCTATTAAAGCTTAAAGCCAATCATCTCCTTTTCTATACTGGTTCCTATTTTTTTTAGTAAAGGATCGGTACTTCATCTGTTGGTGTTTAATTTATTCATCTGTTAGATAGCGCATTGTGGGGAACGGAGAAGACCTCCTTTGAAACACCACCATTGTTTATATTTAAGGGACTTTTCAGTTGTCTCCCATTGAGCCACAAAAAATGAAAATTGATTTAACACAACAACTATGCCTCTGTCCTAAACAAGTTGCGGTCGGGAATATGAATCCTCACTAACCACGTTACTCCATTTAAAATCATCTCATGCCAATATTATGAACATACAAATAAAAAGTATTAAAAGTGGTGTATATTTTCTAAGCGTAAAAAATCTCTGAAAGGATAAACCATTGTCACGACCCAAAAATCCCACCTTTGGCCGTGATGGCGCCTAGTCGTACTTGCTCAGCAAGCCAACTCACAATCTACAAAAATAAAGTCGAATTCCTTTAATTAATATTCATATTATAAATAAAGATAGAAATACTCTCAAAGCAGTAAAATATCTTATACAATCATAATATGGCCTTGACTCGGCAATACAGTACAACCCCCAAGATTAGGTGGCACAAGTACACGAGTAACTACTACAAGTCTCAATACATGAACAAAGCTGTCCGAAATAGTAAAATAGACGGGGAATGGTAAAAGGACTGGGACTTGGAACTACAAAATGAATCCATGGACTGTAGCTCACCCTAAGTCTCCGTGCGGTCACCTAAGCTCAATCAAGAGGCTCCGCTAGCACCTACCTGAGGGTCTGCACAAAAAGATGTGCAAAAACGTTGTATGAGTATACCAGAATCGATACCTAGTAAGATCAAGTCTAACCTCGAAGAAGTAGTGGCGAGACTATAGGCATCATGATACTTACAATACATAAATAACAGAGCTTTAAACTGAAATAGCTTACTATTTATTACCTTCGCTTCGGTTTTCTAATTGCACTACCTAGTGTTAGTATTGTTTTAGCTTGGTTTTTTGATAGGTTTGCTTGTCATTGCCCTTCCGTTTATCTTTCTTGAGCCAAGGGTCTACCGGAAACAACCTCTCTGCCTTCTTAAAGGTAAGGGTAAGGTCTGTGTACACACTACCCTCCCCAAACCCTTGTGGGAATACACTCGGTTTATTGTCGTTGTTGAACTGAAATAACAAGTAATCTCATAAATAACAAGAATCGAAGATATTAACAGTTGGAAGATATAAAGCATGCCTTTTCAATTTAAGAAATAATCGTAATGCTGCTCATATATAATATTTTAAGATGACATGCTTCAATCAACGGAGTCAAAGCTCCCAACTAGCATAAAACTAGCATAAATAGATGGCATGTAACGATTAGCATCTAAATAAATGCATCTAAATTAGTCAAGGAGATCTATGCATGCTCAAAACCAGTAAAAGATCCATGTACTACAATACAAAATCCATGTAATACCATAACCCAATACAAAATCTATGTATCGACCACGCTCACAGGGCCTAAAGTGATGTACTTTTTAGGTTTTGCACCTCTCAAGTACAAAGAAGAGAGAAAAACAAAAGCATCCCGTTAAAGGTTTTCACAAAACTTGCGAAAACATTTTTCAAACTCATGTTAGAAGAATGTAAGATGAAAAGAAACCTCACTCACACGTTCTTCAATCCCGTAAGATTGCAAGAATAGTTGAATAAAGGAAGAACAGTAAATCACGTTTTTGAAGCAAGAGCTTAGAAAAACTAATCACCCCTCTTTATTTTCAGCCTATTAAGCCCTTTAAATAGGCCTTACAATGAGTAAAATTGATAAGATTAATGAAAATTAATCCTAATTAAACTAGAATAAGAATAAGGCTAAGAAAACATATCCTAACTAAAATAGGAAAAAGAATTCTAGTAAGAATGGGATACAAATTAATAGTTCTTGTTTGACTAGAACTGCAAATATTATTCTACTGAAACAAGAATTAAATTACTAAGAAGCAAGAAATACGAAATCCTAATCTTCAAGGAAAAGAAATCCTAATCTTGATTGGATTCTTAGACTTTTTGAATTTTTAGCTTTCTTGATCTTGCATCATTCTCCCCTGGTTGAAAAAGACTCGTCCTCGAGTCTAACAACTTCCATAGATGGCGCAAGATTTGCTATAGTAAAGAATAAGTACCCAACGCTCACCAGGTTTCAAATTGCATCTTGCTAGTTTATCATAGAGCTTTTTCACGTTGTAAGAAAACTTAGAACGTGGTCAAACTAAATCCCACTTTCTAAGTTTCAATTTTCTACCAAGCCTTCTCCATGTAATCTTTCTATGTTGACTCTCAAACTTCAACTTATAATATGAAGTTGTTGATGTTAGAACTACATGAAACTTAGCTAACTCCATGTCTAGCTTTGATTAAGCATAGAGATCAATGCTCTTCTTGAGACTGCATCAATTGCTATGCTTGTAAACCAACAATCACTTTGACGATGGCCATATATATTTATGAGGTGAAGATATCTTGTTTCTCCAATATACCTCAAACTCACCATTATCCGCTCCTTTCTAGGTAATTCTTCTTCTTGTTCATGCATATTTTTATGGACTTTAAGATTAACGCAATTTGCTGACTTGTTTGGAATGATAAAGTCAACAATCAAGTCAATATTGTGTTGAGCATCTCTTAAAGGCGGAAAGTTCGTGACACACATGGCTGGATACTCCAATGGATTATCATAAAACTTTGGTGGTAATTCCTCAACTCGTGGATCCAATGCATGTTCCTTGTCTCTTTGATATTGGTCTTCATCAGTTTTGTCCTCTTCACTCCCTCGATTATTTGAATATTTATCATATTGGGCATGGTGCATTGGTACTCTCATGTCTTGGTCAGCTTCAACCTCTTCAACTTGCTCAATATATCTTGCTCTATGCAGTTGAATTGGTGGATATCGAAGTGGTAGACGTGGCGGTAGCACTGATATGTTATGTGGATTAAAGCACCAAACCTTCAACCAATTCAGTCAGATGCCTTATTGATTCCGTCAAGCTATTTAGCTGCAATTTAATTTCTTCATTGTCTCGTTCAAGGACGGGAGTTCTTAATTTCTGAATTTTAATTGAAGATCCATTGAAGAGGATCATGAACTTGCTATTTTCTTGTTTGGTGACACGATGAATAAAATAGCAAGTCAAGAATTTGAACCTGGAACCTGTGCTCTGATAACAAATTAATGTACTTTTGAGGTTTTGCACTTCTCAAATACAAAGAAGAGAGAAACAAAAGGGATAATACATAATCACCCCTATGAGGTTGTCCAACTTTACCAGATACACCCTTATACTTTGCGGTGGTCATATGACCCCCTTGTCTTTGTTTAAACTATAATAAATATCACCTTTTGTGATCAGTACCAATTTAAGGAGAAGTAGTGTAATGCACGCACCAACTATCTTTTGTCATGTAATTTTGTCTTTTTATTACTAATTTTATAAAATTTTACATCTTTTATTAAAAGAACTTTTTTACTTTTCTTCTTTTCTTTTCTCCTTCCCTAACTAATATCGTTTCTCTCCCCTGTAAACTTGAAGAATCTGGCGGCTACTTCAAAAATCTCACTGAAAGAAAGAAAATCCAACCACCTCCAAAAAGAAAATCATAGAAATCAGCTGGTGGAAAACACCCATCTTTCATAATAATAACCATTGTCAAAGAGATACGGTTAATGAAGTACTATAGAAAAAACTACCGGAAAATTAATAGGTTTGACTGGAAAAGCTTTACTCTGTGATCCGCTCCTCTTTCCTAACCCATCTCTCTGCATTTTGTCTCTCCAAACCCCTCATAAAATACCACAAAATCAGTGAAGAAGAACCATTAATTACCGGAAAAGCAAACAGTAAATGAACTAATAGAGGTTCGGGCAGAAATATTTTTCCGGCTACTGATGCTTTTTCATTTTCTCCTCCCAATCTCTCTCAAAACCCTCAATTTAGAAATCCCCAATCAAAAACAACCTTGGATTTACTATAAAGCACCCATTCAACACCAAATCTGAAGCTCCACAAATTGAATGCAACCTAGATTAGAACAACTAGATTTTTTCCTTTACATTCTTCCGTCTGACAGATTTATTTTAGCTTTTATTAAAAAAGGAGATAAAGCAAACAAAATAGTCGAATGCTCCAACTTGACTGTGTTAGGAATTTGGAGAATGGAGGTCTGGCCTCTTTGATATATTATTGAGTAATGGAGGTTTAATTGTAGAAGAGAAAGAAGAAGAAAAAAGCGAACTGAAAAAGCCAAAGCAAAATAAAAATGTAAAAATAAAATAAAAAATTAGATATGGGGCAGTTTTTTTGTTCTCACGCGCTATAATTGCGTGCAAAATTTTAAAGGTGTCACATCAGCTCAAAAGATGGTACAGTTTGAATAAAGATAAGGAGGTCACGGGACCCTCGCAAAGTATAAGGGTATATTTGGTAAAGTCAAACAACCTCAGGGGTTGATTATGTATTATCCCAAAACAAAAGCACCCCGCTAAAGTTTTTCATAAAATTAGTGGAAATATTCTGCAAACTCACGATAGAAGAATGTAAGATGAAAAGAAACCTCACTCACACGTTCTTCAATCCCGCAAGATTGCAAGAATCGTTGAATAAAGGAAGAATAATGAAATAAAAAGTAAATCACGTTTTTGAAGCAAGAGCTTAAAAAAAGTAATTACCCTCTTTATTTTCAACATATTAAACCCTTTAAACGGACCTTACAATGAGTAAAATTGATAAGGTTAAAGAAAACTAATCCTAATTAAACTAGAATAAGAATAAAGCTAAGAAAACATATCCTAACTAAAATAGGAAAAAGAATTCTAGTAAGAATGATATACTAACTAACAATCATTGTTTGACTAGAACTACGAATATAATCCTACTAAAACGAGAATTAGATTACTAGGAAGTAAGAAATGCGAAATCCTATCTTGATTGGATTGTTGGACTTCTTGGATTTTTAGCTTCTTGGTCTTGCATCACAAAGTAACATGGGTAATCATTTGACTTTTGAGGGACGGATCCTTATCCAAGCACAAAAAGGAGCTTAATCGCTCACATATAATCAAATATCCGGTGATTATGTCATGTGTGCCATAACTGTATTTCATCCGCATGTCTTACCTTTTCGGGCCAGAATTCACAGTCCAAATCAAGTATCCATATACAAAGTATAAGCGTTTGCTCAAGAATTATAGACAAAAGATGCACAAGGACATAATAAAATCATACGGATATATGCTAATGGAATTTCTATATAGCAACGGATAATTTAAGCAATTCAACATATCAAGAATTAGTTCCCATGCCTTCATAAATAATCAAAAACCTAGGCATGATCATTAACATGACTAAGGGAAGTGAATGTAGTCATAAAAGCCAAACAAATCATGAGTCAAATGAAAACATAATCAAAACAAGGCATAAGTATCCAAATTCTGCCCCGGGCATGATGTAAACTTAGAAAGTGTATATACGTTCGCCACTCCGTATATACACCACCCCCAATACCTTAAACACATAGAAATCAAGTCAAATCTTACGGGTTTCCCTCTTAACAAGGTTAGCCAAGAGACTTACCTCCATAGTCTTCAATCTTCCAAAATAGCCTTTCCTCTCAAATCCACCTCCGAACGAGTCGAATCTAGTCAAGTACAACTCAATAATGTCAAACAAAGCCACATGAATCAATTCCAGACAATAAAGTTCGAATCTTTAATCAAATCCCCAAAAGTCAACAAAAGTCAATCTGGACCCACACGGTCAAAACCCGAGTCAAGGGGTAGATCTCGACTACCCATAATCCAACGAGTCCAAATATGTGATTAGATTCTAAAACTAACTCCAAATCGACCTTCAAATTCCCAAAATATACCCTCTTAAGTTGTAGACACAACACCCAAAATTTCCTTTAAAATCTTTGCTTTTACGTGTATAATTCCATTGGAAAATAAGATATAAAGTCAAATCCAAGTGAAAATTGCTTACTTTTAATGATGTAGTGAATTTGCTCCTCAAAATCTGTCACTCTTGAAGTCTAGGGCTCAAAATATGAAAAAGTAGATAAAAGTTGCGAAATAACAACTTAAATATTCTGCCCATTGATATGCATCGGGATCGTGACACATCCCTCATGATCACGAAGGTCAAAAATCTGCCCTGCTGAAACTCCACTTCGCGAACGCGAAGTACCTTGCGCAAACTCGATGGCTACTCCGGCATAGGATCTACGGTAAAAGTACTAACATCTAACACATATTCTCAACTAGTATGTATCCCCTACGTAGATCTTCCATTGTGATGTATCTTCACTAAGTCTGCATGGATCACCAGGAATTGTAGGTCCTTCGAAACAATTTCCTTCTCTGTGATTTTGGGTCTAGCTTGTCCTCTTTTAATACCTTCACTCCATGGTTTCACACCTACAGACCAGTGCATTTGGAGTTTGAGGCAGACATGACTAAACAATCTCAAGTCCTCGATGTGTGCTACTTGAACCTTCTCGTGAATGTGACCATTTCTTATCTTCTATGAATATAATCGCATCCACATCTTAGCGTCATTCATCCTACTGTCATCAAACTCCCGTTACATGGTTGGAATATTTGGCCCTTTGCCAGCGGCACCCCAAGACCTCTTAAAATGGCTGTTAACACTTAAATTCCATGTTTATTGGGTGTAGAATTTTTAAGGCTTAAAATTTATGCATCTCATTTTTGGCGAATGTGCTAACTGTTTCTAGTTGCACCCATAGTAGAATGCATTCTCATGTCTCAGTTTTGTGCCGTTGATAAGAATCAGACATAGGTCATCAGCTCTCCCATTTTGAGGGTTTTGGTAAAGGGATTTGTTCTCACATTGTGTTCGACAACTCCTCAAGTACTGATGTGTTTTGTAACAGCATGTATTGGAACATGGAAACCCAGAGGAGCGCACTTCTATAATTAACAAACTGATGGGGCAGATAGTTCAGATGAGCCAGCAGAAATTTGCCTCGAATGTTGTGGAGAAGTGTTTATCCTTTGGAACTCCTGAAGAACGCCAGACCTTGGTAAATGAGATACTGGGCTCTGAAGCTGAAACTGATCCTCTTCAGGTTTGTTAATTTTCAGATCCTTCCATTTTTAGTGGTATGCTCAAGCGTACTTAGAGTTCTCTGTACCCTTTGGCTGTCTAATTTAAACAAGATCTATTTCGATGTAATTGCTCTATTTAGGTGATTGAGCTTTATACTGTAGATGGATTTCTGAGAACAAATATTCCTGTTGGCCTTAACGAGAATCTTAAAATTTACATCTCGAAGGATCCGACCTCTAGATCCACACCCGTATCGGACACCCGCACCCGTGTCCTAGCAACTTAGGTTTAAACACTCAATTAGGATTAACACCCAGTCTATTAACTTGTTGGACATCGTCTTCACTCGCATGAAAACTCTAACCTAGTTAACAAGTGACAAAAAAGTGGTAACCTAATTGATTTAATCTTTGATTTCACGACTTTCTAATATGGAAGATTCAAACTTCTCCATGTATTGAAGCAGTATACAGATCTCACATTTTATGGGAATCATTAATCAGTCAATCTCCTATATGCTGGAGATACTCTTATAATTAATTTTTCACGTTTTAGAAAACTTTCACTGTCAGCAACTTCAGGTAACTTTGCTCCAACTTAGAAAATTGATATTTTCAATATTAAATAAATCAAAATAAGTGATGAAACATGGATAGTTTAGTTGGCCATCTACACTGACTAAAATTGCTCAAATATTACTAAACAATGTGATTTTCAAATTTTCATGTGCCAGAAGGACTAACACAAGTGTGCAGGACATGTTTAAGTTATCTTCAGCTGAAAGTTTCAAGGCTGGGCAAACTTTTATTATTTACTCCAACATCCTCCAATTTGTAATTAACACTTATACTAGTTATTAATATCTGTTATCCTTTAATTACGAACTATGCAGAAGTTCAAATAACACCAGTGCCTTCCAACTTTAATTGGAATCACATATACTTGACAGTGGCAGTTCCCCTTTAAAACTTTTAGAACCTTGGACAAAGCCGCATATAAAAAGGAATTTATCAAAGCCAC